AGTGGGCCCTGAACACACCTCCCTACATATAGCCTCAGATACAGCATCCTAATCAATAATTACATTATTGATTGTTAGTGTGCGACCAACAGTGCATGATGGGAAAAAATGCAGCAAAAGCGTCACAGAGAGATGACATCAACTCACATCCCTTCCTCCCACTGATGACATCATCAGGTGTTATTTCCCTCCACTGATGACATCACCAACCATCAAACACGGAGCTGCTGGCGATGATGTCATTATAATGTGTGTGTATGTGTGTGTTTGTTTGTGTATGTGTACGTATGTATGTGTGTATATATATATATGTGTTTATATATATGTGTGTGTGTGTGATAAACAGTGTGCCGCTCACAACCATCACAAACAGCTGTGAACCTGCACTTTTCACAGCTGTGCGACCAGAGTCCTCGCGCCAAACTCCACGGGAAATTGTGGTAAATGTAGACTTATTTGATTTTTAGTTCCTTTCTTAACAGGATGAAACACATCTCACTCTTTGTTTATTTGACACGTGTCTCCTGGTAAATTCGGCACAAACAAACAAACCAATAAGCAACTTATTCAATGAGACTTTTAGGTTTTTACTGACTGAGGCTGCACCCAAACTGCCCTCTGAGCGCACTTTATCGGGCGAAGGCAACGACAGAAGAGTTGCACATTACTTCAGATAAAGAGCTGTTTGGTGTGCTGGCTGTGTGCCGAATAGATGAAAGGCTCTCTCACATATATTTACAGTATTTACAGGAGTTTTATCAGATGGCAGTATTTGCTGAAAAGTGACAAAACTTTAAACTTGGTTTACTTCAAATAGAGTTCGGCGTCGTAAACTTTTCAGTGATTTATCTTTGAGTTAAACTTTGCTGTAATAATTGTTTTATCCCTCACCGTTTCCACAGCTCCCTCCAGGACTCCGAAGTAAAAACATAAGAATCAACACAATCATCTTGTCATTGTTTCTGCGGGACTCTGATCCGGGCTGGCTCGGCTCGGACTCGGCTCGGTTCGGTCTCACTCCCTCAATGAAGTTTCATTTCCAGGCGGACAAACAGGGTTTTCATCGGAGATTAAATCGGTAATAAAACGAAACATTCGTGAAGAAAGATTCAAACAAAGTCATTAAAAGAGCGATTAAAGGTCCAGTGATTACCGAGCAGCCGCTGTCAGGATCTTTTCTCAAACTGTTTTCCTCTGAGAAGAAAAGTGAAGCTGAACCATTAAAACACGACCGCACCGGAAATCAGCTGCCTTCAAAATAAAAGACCTTAGATCTAGATCATATTTCTTGTATTTAATTTGTCATTTCTTATGTTTAAATGTTATTTAGTGTAATAATAAAAAGCTCTTTACAGTTGGTTTATATTTGATTTGTAACTAAATCATTCTGTTTCCAATCATTATTTTCTATGTTTACATGTATTTATTTATGTGTTAAATATTTTCTCCAACAGGAAGCTTGAATATACACAAACAGACACTAAAACGGTTGTTGGACACGAACTCTGTCGTTCGTTATTATTGTATTATAATTACATTATTATTTATATCGATGTTGATCAATTCGATAAAAACACTAACCGGAAATGAAGTTTACATTCATTCAAGTTTTACACTATTGGTGCTCCCAGAGGAATGTGTGTGTGTGTGTGTGTGTGTGTGTGTGTATGATTGTGTACTCACTGCGCATGAGCACCACCTGGTGGCGTGACATCAGAGCTCAGGTACAGCAATGAATATATTTATTTACTTGTACTTTAGTATTTCTGCTTTATGCCCTCTGACAGCTTCATTACTTTCATTATTAATGAAATAAAATGATTGATTATAATATGATTTGATCATTTTATAAAATATGGTCCATTGTAATTAATTAAACAAACACTGCCTGTAAAATACTGCATTATGGGAGTATTATCAGTGTTTTTATTGATTATTGATGCTGTATGAATGTGTGTGTTGTATATTTAAATATATATAATTAAATTTCAATTCAATTCAATTTTATTTGTATAGCGCCAATTCATCATTATCTCAGGACACTTTTCAAATAGAGCAGGTCTATACCGAACTCCTTTTAACAATTAAATAAGAGAGAGAGAGAGAGAGAGAGAGAGAGAGGCAGACAGACAGACGCAACAACTAC